CCCTGGACCCGCACCCGGCGGTGGGGGAACGGGAATAGGAAGGGGGGGAGGAAACAAACAAACGAAAAAAATCCCAAACAAGCAAACGGTAAAGTGAAGCCACTGATTTAAAAAGCCAACCAGAAAACTAACCCTGACAAGTAGGATTTGCCCTCCTCTTGGCTGCACGTATTGGCCGCGCTTATTTGCAACGAGCTTGTATCTGCCGACGCGAGTGGCCGGTTGGTTTGTCCGTCAAAAGGGAAATATCAGTTCGCCGCTAAGGGAATAGATTCCCGTCCATCCATCACAAGGCTTAGCAGGTAGCCGCCTAGAAATCAATCATACACTAATAATAATAAAAAATAAGCCTTCTCCGTCACATTACTATTCTAGTGTTTCTAGCAAAATATATGTGTACGTTTGATTAATAGATGCATGGATTTTTATCATGTGCATCACTCCTGTGCTACCTAAAATGATCTTGAAAAACCACACACGCAGGATAATAAATGAGCAACCCCAGTAAGTATTCATTAATTATATAACTGCAAAATAATATCCTGCTAGTTTCTGGCTTCCCTTCCCCAGATACTAAAAGAGAACAGAAATCTCTTCCTCCTCCCCTCCCTGACACAGTTTTTTAAAACACCAGACATTATCCAATATTCAGGTATAAAGCTAGGAATTTTCAAAGCTCATCAATTCTGTTCTAGAAAACTTTAACAACAGCAGCAATATTTTTAAACACCGGGCACAAAAAATGAGAATCCTATCGCTGCTTTTAGGAGAAATTGCAAGAAAGGTATCTGGCTGACGATTCAGTAGGGAGAGGCACTCTGTTACCAGAATAAGATATGCACTTGGTCCCATTTATTGCAATATATTTATAAAGCAAGGTAAAAAGCTTCTTCTGCAATCTCATTTCCAATTTCAGCTACCAGACAGTTATAGAAAGCAATATATAACAATTTCCTTAATCACAATTAATTTATAGTAATGTGTTATGGCCATATTCTCGCGTAAGCTTCTCACCTTTCAAATCATTGCATCTGTCTCTTCGTCCTCACATGGATTTTACAACATCACGTTTAGCTGACATCTCATCTGCGCAGAGGAAGGCAGCAGCGCGGAGAGCTGGAGCAAAAAAAGACCTGCTGCAATCGGGGGAGGCTCATGTGCTCCTGTCCCTCGTCTTTCTGTCCCTCAGTGAGTGTCCCTCAGCCAGCTGCGAGCCTGCCTGTCTGGGCTGCCAGTCCCTGACTCAACATTCCCAGCATTCCCGAGGAGCTGGGTTTTCATCAGCGCTGAGCGGCCTGCCGCCGGGGGCAGCAGCAAGCTCCCTGGCAGCAGGCACAGCAAGAGAGCTGTGACAGCAGCAGCACACGTACCACAAGCCTGTGGCTTTCTCAGAGTATTTGTCTCTGTCCGTTCTTTGCACACCCAAGGGTTCCATCCCCACCCAGCAAATGTCTGAAAGGAAAGCACGTTAGTCATTGTGCAGCAGCCTAAAAATACACCTATGTCTGCGTAAAACTGCCGAGGCTAAATTGCTTTCTCGGCTCTATTCATCAAAGGCCAAAAGCGCTCAAAGGCAGATGCTTAAAAGCATCGTGTCTAAAATCGGTTACTGTGTGTGCATACACACGCACACGGGAGAAAGAAATCTAAATCTGTATTTTGGCCTAAGTGTCAAAGTAATTAAGGAGATGTCCAGATTTGTTTCTGGGTTAAAAAAAATTAGCAGAAAAAAGGAAAAGTGGAAGATTAGCTGCTATATGAAGCCTGAAAGCCTTTTTCATCAGAAAACTGCAAACTGCATTGAAGAATTGCTCCTGAGGTTTTATTTATTTAGTTCGATATTAAGGGGAATGAGGGAAACATTCCTAAAAAATACCACTGACTTCTCATCTTAAGGAATGCATTTCTTTCGTCTTCCATTTTTCCCTTCTCTCACTATTGTATTTTCTATGGGTTTACTTGCTGTTGATAACAAGATATTGTAGCTGATCAACCTCAATCCATAGCTTGAAGGCAACTTCATACCTTACCCTCTCCAGAATTTCACAAATATATTGTATCTGCTCTTTCTTAATGTCATTGTTGTGACACTTCTTAAGACATAACTTCCTATCTGTAGTTGCCTTATTGTAACCTGCATCTTACCTCCTATCTTGCCCACATATGTACCTATATGTACCACTATTGAGAATCACTGATTAGGGCAGCTTTTATGGATTTTCTGTTAGAAATTAGGTCAAATGAAATTGGTTTCAACCAAACAGGTTTAAAAATAACATAACCCCTTCATTGCTATAGTTGCATTATCCAACATCAATTGAAAGTGTTTGCTGTTGCAAATATGTATTTGTAGATGCAACTATTCAAAACAATGCTAGAATCCAAATCATAGTAATGATAATGGGTTTTATTTTGCTAGGAAAAGGATATATATCTATGTACCTCAACTATATTACAATATAGGGCAAGTATTTTTCTGTGTTCAAAGTAATGGGACAAACTGTGATCAAAATGCAAATTTTAATCACTTTTCAAAGCTGTGTATTTACTTGAAGAGATTTCTGTTAAAATAGTTACAAAAATATGGAAGTGATGGACAGAGAAAAACAGTTCCTGGAGACACTTGACAAGAAAGGACGTGGTTTTGTATACAAATAATTGACTTGATCTAAAAAGCAAGCAGGAAGTAGGGTTTTTTTCTGTACTTCAAGAGGTAGCAAGTCTGCATCTGTAAGAAAATGGATAAATGCTGTAAAATGTGGGTCACCTAGCAATGCTTCAAAGCGCAAGAAATGTCGATTTTCAAAAGTTTAATGCTTAATTTGGATTCAGTGTGCAAAAAGAATATCTTGCAGAGCTGTCTCAGTATTGCTAATACCAATTCTGTCTCAGTACTGTTAATGATGACAGGACTTCTGTTAAAAGTGGTGTCAGCTGCTGTCAGTTTTTTTTAAACAGCTTATCACAGTGTATACCTCATATAGATGCAGAGACAGGAAGATCAGGTTCTGCTTCATCTTTTTGTGACTCATTCACTGGCAAAGGTTATGGGCCTTGTGACAGCCGCCAAAAAAGGGGATCGTTCTGACAAAAGACCAGTAGCCTAAGAATCCCCTTTCCAAGGAATAATAATTGTGGGAAGATGCCACAGAGCTACCATAAGGTTGCAACAACATTGCAATGAATTAGGCTTGCTATCATTCAATAAAGTTTGTAGGAGAATTAATCATAGACCATCTTGGAGCAGTAGACCATCTGCAGACGGACTGTCAGTACTGCTAATGCCAAAGAAGAAAATATACCCATTATGGACAAGACCATTTGGTATAGGTATTTTTTTGCAAAAAAATATATTTTGCCAAATTGTGTTGGAAATAATTATTGGAAGAAATGTGCAATTCAAATAAAGGGAATGATCAGAATTTTACAGATGATCTATTTAGTGTATTAGAGAAACAATACGTACCCAAACAACCTCACAGCCACATACTCCAAACCCTTGAATAATACTTATTCCTTACATTCAAGACAATACTGGAATCCCAATCCAAAGGGCAGGGTAATAATGGTAATATATACTTGAGAAGACCTACTTTGCAAGTGATGAAAGCTCTCCTTTCAGTCGAATGGTGGAGCATTTGTGTTGTCACTGGTGTTGTGATGCAGGTGGATGCCATTAAGCATGAAAAGAAGAAAGCCAGGTCATGTGAGTAAACTAGCATTTTTTTAAAAATGTAAAAAGTTCTGATATATGATTAACAGACTTCATTTTTAGCCAATTGTTAGAGGGAAGCAGTCAGTTACAAAATTTGAACAAGTGTTTATAATATACATGTCATGTGGTGGTTTATCTATGGATTACACTTTTCAACAATTTCTACCTTACAGGCATAAACACATATTTTTGACTAGTGTGTATGATTTTTTTCCGTGAAAATCTTTCTATCTTCAAAATACAGCATATTAGTAATTCTTCATGAGTATATTATATATCAATACCTGCAAAGAGCCCATTGGAATTAATAACAAAATTCCTTTAGATTTAAATGAGAGTAAGTTAGACCCTAAACAAATAAAGTACAGAAGAAACACAAATTTTAAAGTCTGCTATGATTTTACTCAACCTATGCTATACTGATTTCAGAAACAGGGAAGTATAAAACATGTATAGTCTTCTTACAATTTTTTGGTTCAGTTTTTCTAAGTATAAATAATTTAAATTAACATTAGAAAACACATATAATGCTACTGATAGTACTCAGTTCCTGTGCCTCCCATTACGCTTCCCAACTCTTCTTCCGTGTAGTAAAGACATTTCAGCAGCATCCAGCTTCCTTTCATATTTTGGTGAAGATGTACGCTGTTCAGAACTTCCTTTTTTGAAAACAGAAATACAAATAGAAACGGAGCTCAGTCGCTACTAATGCATAACTGAGAGCAAACAACCACAGGTGTGTGCTTTAAAAATTGAGAAAAACGCATTTTAGCTTTATTCCCTTGAATCTGACCCTGATGTTTTCATCTGTGCCTCCCTAGCGGCTGAGTTGCTTTCAGCTTTAATTTTCTATTACGGAAGCCAAGTCAGTAGCATGATATAGCAGTCTCCTTTACTTTTTAAATAAAAATTAAAAGTTAGAAGTGACTTGGAAAAAACAATTCTGGCATTACATAAATATCATGTATGAGAAACTGAATTGCTTTCTCCCAAAAATAATAGAGCATGAATAGAAACAATGTAAAGGTATGAAGACAGAAGCATGGGACCTTCTTAAGGAGAAATATATACGATGATCAGGAGGGTCTGTCCCTGCGTTATGATGGTAAAAAACAAAAGTCTGTAAGGTAATACTAGATTAGAATATTACTAAAAAATTTAATCAGTAATCCTGTTTATCCTATGTTGCAGTAAAGAGTAAAATAAATGCGAAGATAGGCTGCTTGATAAAATTTAACTCTATATTGCATTCATGAGCACTTTTAAAGTTAGTTATAATTGTCCAGTAGAACTTTCTATCACACAATACTACTGAGATAAATTGCTTTGATAATAGTCAAAGAAAGGGATGTAAGGGATTTATTTTGTGGAAAAGAAAATAAGTTATGATGGATGTTGGTCCTCTTCATTCATTTTAACAGCTGGTTCCCAGCAAAGATCAAATCAGCAAGTAACCTTCATAGCGCGAGTACTTTTCAGTTGGTAAGATCTGAAGAGAAGAAAATTTATGGAAGTGTGCAAGAAAAGAAGATATTTTCACGCAGGGTATACTCATATCTCTGGAAGAAAAGAAGAATAATCTGCATGATTTAAGCTGAAGGTTACAGAATAGATGTGGTGATCGGACTTGGGGTGATCGGACATGGGGTAAGCATGTGAACTGAAACCATTTTCCAGGATGAGGTCCTATTAGTGTAATCTATGGAGGTGTTTTAGTCTCAGTCAGTAATTCATAGGACAGCTCTATTTCCTCTTTATCAGCTCAGATACCTGCCTACAGATACCTGTTAAATTCAGTCATAAAATGGTTTCCACTGGAAGTTATTTCATTCTTTACTGTCCTTATGACAGATCACCAAAGTCTGCTGTCTTAGTTTTCAAAATCCTTAGTATAATTTATTTAATTTTATCTCAAAATGACACATGCTTTACAGAGCATGGGGAAAATGTTACTTAAGGTATACATGAAAGTTTAATACATTATTGTGGAATTCATTGTGGAATACATTACTGTGCAATTCAAAAAAGGAAAGTGGATGCTTTTTTGGCAATTGCATAATTAAAGCAATTTATTGTGCACTGCATTGCTAATCTAGTCAGGATAGAAATAAAGTTACCCTAGCATGTTTTCTTAGTTTCACTGTTGCAAATAGAGCAAAAATAGCAAATTATTTTATAGTGAAAATATCCAGTTCATAGAACTCCTGCAGCTGCCACATCCCAAAATGCAGATATTAATAGGCTTTTCTATCAACTGTACAGTATGTCAGAGTCCTAAAAATATTTCTTGCAAAAATTCAAACTCAAGTGGCCCCTAACAACATCTAGTGAATCTAGTTTAAAAAAATCTTGAATTAGATTTAACATTTTAAGATCTAAAATTTTATCAATGGTACTTTTATTTAAATCTCGCTGCATCTGTTTTATGGGAACACAGTATTAGCTGCAATACAATATTGTACCCATCACGCTCAGTGACTATGCTAGTGCTGCTGCTTAACAAGCAGTGACTAGTGAGCCATAGGCTCCAGGTAATATTTTTATGTCAGTTTGGACACTATGAAGTTTAAATCCAACTGACATTTCAGTAAGCTTTTAAGTGCATACCTTATTCCTAGAAAGTAGGCCTAGATACAAGCAATTCTACTTAGAAGCATCAGCGCGAGGCACTTCATCTGAAGCACTCCTCAATACCCCAGTTTTATGAAGCTGAGAAGATCTCCTTCCCTACATGTGTTCTCAGCCGCTGCAGCTGACAGGTACAAACAAAATCAGGATTGTAGGGCAGTTCCCTTAAGCATGCTGTCTTTTCTCAGCAAAGCTACAGAACGGTTGTCCAGTAAGTGAACATTTTGCTTGAGAAACCTTCTTCTCTGGTTTTAAAGAGCTGGGTACTGAAGCCTGAGTCACTGCCATTATCACATTTACATGGTAGAAGGATTTGAACAGGAACTGAACTGCTTAAACTTGTTAGATCTTGCTCCTCAAGAGTAGTCCCAAAATGGAAGTCAAATTCCCATACTCAGTAGCTCCCCATTAGGTCAAATAAAGTAAAATAAACTGAAAAGAGTAAAAACTAACACCCTTGAATAAGCACTTCAAACCGAAAGTGAATACATATATAAAAGGTAGCAGAGGATCAAGCTAACAGTGAATCTGCAGATGCTTCACTACTCTAGTACTAGTTGTGGATTCTGATGAGGAACAGCATGTCCGACAGAGTACCAAGTCCAATATGCCTGATTATGGAAGGCCAATCCAGCTAACATTAATGCTACTTATCAGTCAATAACTGACATTACAAAGAAGGCATGAGGCTCACAAAACTGTTGTAGAGCTCCCACGTTTGTAAGAGGAGGACTTGACAGTCTTGTATCTGTTATTCTGTATAGACATTTATGCTGAAGGGGATTTATAAAATTACTATTTTGAGATAGTAACATTTTATATATATTTCACATTACTTTATGGGCTTACACAAAGTACAAAGTCATGGGGAATTAAGTTCCATTTATCTAATATATTACTTTAGCCAATTTACAAATGTTTTTACAGGTGCATTTACACCTGTACTAGTATTTCTCCTTCATATTTTTGCATGAAAACATCAAAAAATACTCCAAAACCCAAGTTCCTCAGTGAAAAACTATGATGCAAAGGCTCAGGTTCTCTCAGTCTTCAGTTTTATTACAAAGTGGCAGAAATTTTAAGAAAATTTTCAAAATACTCTGAGCTATGCTTGGGTCTATAGCTAAAACATCAAGGTTTTTTCCTCCTTTCATGTTTTATAATTCTAGTTTGGGAATATTTTAAGCTATCCAACATTCTTTAATTTTAAATTTGTTTGTTATACATGGAGTTATGCTGTATAAAATACCATCCAGAGAACAACACAACAATGTTAGATTTCTATCAGTAGCAATACATTTTTGCCTCACATAGAACCTAAGACCAGATTTTAAGGAACCGTTATTTCTGTAATTGGACAGTTGTCTTACGCTCCATAATTTCCACTGAAGTATGTCTTAATTTCATTGTCTAATTCTCATATTATTGTACTGATAACTTTTAGAAAGGGATCTCTTACACTTAACAGCACTGGATTTCACACTTGTGATTTAGATTCTTGTAAGTGCTGTAATGTAGAAGAGCAAATGGTACGTGCCATTCTGAATACTTCATTTATGTTCTGATCTTTCAAAACTTAAGGAAAGTTTAATATAAGTTTGAAGGAACCTTTTATGTTGCTATAATTAAATATCAGTATTTCTATGATGATTGTCTATTACTCTGACCTGATGAAATATCAGGGCTTCTCCCACATTTGTTTAAAATTTGGCCACTGTTTGAGGATATGACTTCAAATGATTGTGTCAACTTATCTTACCAGTTCTGGAATTAAAGAGATAAAGGTCTTTTTCTGATTAACTTCTCATTTAGAACAAGCCCTGTAAGCTGCAGGTATAGTAGCACATTTAATTACCCCTCTCTGGCATCCAGACCAAATGGCGTAGAATGGTCTGGATTGATACTACTAAGCTCTCTAAGCTCCCAAAATAGGGTAGTCCCATGTAAATTGTCTATTGGGAACATACTCTAACCTACACTGACTTCCAAAATATGCTG